GGGGGCTGCACTGTCACCGTACAGGGAGAGTAGAGATGCTTGCATGCCAGGGTCATGGCTGACTATGCGGCACACAGAGGCGGGGGGCCAGGCTCTCAGTGCGGATCAGAGGGCTCCGCCATGCGGGGGGGGGGTGACCACGGCAGCACCGTGACCCATTTCACGCTGCCTATTACACCGTACCCCTCCCTCATATTTCCCCAGGCAGCCAAAATCAGGACACAGTACACTTGGAATTCAACTCCCTCCACATTAAACTGGATTACCGCCGTTTACGCCGATCGCATCAGGGCTGCTCCCCTATCTACTGCTGCATGTGAACGCTGCCTATTCGGTGCCTTTAGCTCCAAATACAAAAGGCCAACTTCAGGCAATCGACAGCAAGCAGAGTATCGTAGGACAGTAGGATCAACTTCTAATTACAGACTCAACTACTGGCATTAGAGGGCCTGGTTTATCTTAAAGGATCTGTAGGTCAGAGTAGAGAATAACGCCCTCTTCGCGAAGAAAAAAATAAAATAAAATCTTGTCACTATTAGTAGCGGCGACCATCAGTAAGTTTACCGCTGAGACCCTGTGACTCTTACAGTCTTGACCAGGGAGAATGATGCAGAAACGCCACAGGCTTCTGTCACCGGCCCTGATCGTTTGTTTCTCCGCATGACAGCAAAGCACCTCATGACAATACAAAAATCACCAGAGTTACACTTTCTTAGAAACGTCCCGCTGGGTGTTTTGGCGTCATGTTAATGAATAACTCACTGCCAGACACTGATTAACAAAAAAGAAGGAGAAAAAACACTTAACCCATTATCATGACTAAAATCCCATCACCAAACTGGGCGTTTTAATCGAAGGAAAAGGCAGGAGCTGCTGATGTTCGCGGAAGCGCTGAGGCTGAAGTCGCATGACAAACCAAACAGTGACAGAGTGCAGAGCCATCTCCCCCCTTCACAAGCGTGACTAACTCAGTCAGTGCTTCATCAGACACAGCACATGACACACCAACATGGATAAGAATATACACATTTAAATTGATTAAATATTCACAGATGACTGACTGGTGGCTGAACTCAACCCATACTTGTGGGCTCCCCACCAGGGACAATTCTGAATTCGGAAAGGTGGGGGGGGACTCATGAGGGGTCATAGTTCATACAAAGGGGCCAACCTTCTCATTAGCCAATGATATGTTTTGAAATCGTTGCGTGACAGATGAGGGGGCACTCTGAGGGCCAATCAGCTTTCAGCTGGGGACAATGCCTTTGTGGCCCCGCCCCTGCATGGGCCCCTGCTCACCGTCCACAAGGCGAACGGGAGGCAGATATGAGCAAGGTCTGATGCGGCTGGGTCCTACCCACTGACGGACACTGGTTTTGGGAATGTGGAATATTGCCACTGATGGGGAAGGAGGCGGGGCTAAATTCATCCAACCAAGATCTCCCGCACGCAGCTACACACTTTGAAGCCGAGATCCAGATCAAGACCAGATCGAGAGCAGCTAGCGGAGGAGACTCGGGCATTGTGTAAGGATGCCACCTGCAGGGCTGCTGGGGTGGGGGGGGACCAGTCAAGATTAATCTGCTCAGCATGCTGCCACTGTGATCCTCACCAGCAAAAGCAGTGACATAAAGAGACATATTGAGACAACCATTCATCAGCATTTGGCGCGAGGGAACCTAGTTCGAACTTAGCAGCTCCAGTTCTACACAGTGAGGAAATCCATCCTGCTACACGCACCCCCCCATCCGTCACAGCGTCAACCATAAAAGTACTTAGCTAGCGGAGCCTGCCGCTCCACCCGGTGGGCAAAGACAGGAGCTTTAGCCTACGAACAAACAAATAGAGACATCGATCCCAGTAAGGCCAAAACGACAGTAGGGTGAATCACGGTATTTCACGCACCTGTTTGTCAGACATGACATAATTCAATTAGTTACACGTTAACTGCAATTTAATGATCACCCTAACACCTTATTTCATGGCACCTGCTGCAGGAGACCACATGGTTAGGGAAGCTTTACGGGGAACTGAGAAAGGTGTAAATATGGAATGCCACATCTCCCCACAATGTGACAAAAACCTGGAACTATTTGCCTAGTGGGGACATTTTTTTGATCCCCATAAGGATAGCCTGAATTTTATAAGAATCTGTGCCTGCAATCAAAAAACTAAAAATGCTAACTTGTATTTTGTTTGGTTACATATGGTTAAGGTTAGGGCTGGGTTGGGGTTACGGGTGTCATTGTGGAGATTAAGGTTTTCCCCATAGAAAACGCGTGTGCGTGTGGCGTGTGTGTGGGCGTGTGCGCGCGGCGTGTGCGTGCGGTAAGGGGGGGGGGGCAGTAAGGAGCACCCCGATTCCGGGAAGAACGGATCTGACTCAGGACACTGAGCTTTAAGGTTATATCACATAAATCATTAAACATCCTGCAGTTTTACAAAACACTCTGTGATGGTGCACAATACGAGTATGTCAGTAACCTCTGGAGGACCACTTGGGGATTGGGCACGTGATCAGGTAAGACTGACCCTGTACGTGGCTCTGCTACAAGGTGCCATCAGTCATGTGACTGACCAGGAAGCCGAAGGATCTACAATGTCAGCTATCTAACAAAGCACGTTCCTCTGATGCCTTCACGCGCACTGTCAGCCCTGCAGTGAGAAGAGGGTCACACTGGCACACTGGACAGGAAGCTGGATGGTGTCGGGCACGCAAATGGAAGAGAAACCACTACAACTCCAGCACAGGCCGTCAGCCAGATCCCAACCCAGCAATTCACAGCCGCTCAGGCGGATAAACGCAGGCTTTTGTTGGGAAGGTCAGGAGGTTACAATTACCTTCTAGATTATGAACTCCAATTACAATTACAAACCATAATTTAGTTCTTGGCATGCTGCTCAGATTGCAGTGAAAGTCCAGCTGTGGCCTTTGTTTATATAATAACCATAATAAATATAGATGACTGATTACCACGGGCCTACTAGCCATTTAACCAGTGTTTCCCAATCCGGTCCTCGTGGATACACAGTCGGCCCATGTTTTTGCTCCCTCCAAGCTCCCTGCCAGACAGTCCACATTTTTTTGCTCCTTCCCGGCTCAAAAACGTGAACTGTAACCGGGTCCCCGAGGACCAGATTGCGAAACGCTGTTTTAACCCAGTTTTTACTATCAGCCATAATGTGTCCATAATGGGGCCAATGGTGTCGCCAAAGGTCAGACATCAAAGAGCATCAGGTCCATCAGACAGACTCAGAGCATTTTCTAAGGCTGCATCAATGATGTGTCTCATAACTAAGCATCCTTTCAGCCCACCTCTCCAGGACATGCTCTGTTCTGACCCACGGCAGGAGCCAGTGGGTCACAAGCGGCCAGCTGTCTGGGCTGGCAGAGGCCTGTGATTTTGCCCAGTGAGGGTTTAAGAGTGGGGGGGGGGGGCTAAACAGAGCAGCGAAGACTGCTTAGCCCTCACTGGGGGGGGGGGGGGGGGGGGGGGCGGGATGCTTGTCTCTCCATACTGCTGTACCCTATTTTGAGACGACCACAGCCTGGCACCTTACAGGACAGAAATGCCACAACCAAAAGGCACCTAAAATAAATCACCGTTTCCAACCCCATTACAAGCTCGACGACCATCTTTAATACACCTTTTTCCATTTCTCTGGAAAACCACATAAGAACATTCAAATAAAACTCTTTCAAAGTCTCGTCTCTCTTAAATTGCTTCATCCTGACTTCACTTTTTCTAGACATCTACTTCAACCCCTCCGGAGCAGACAGGACAGCACGCTGTACAGCTTTGGCACACATGCATGCAAAGAGCAATTACAGCACTGCTACAGGGTGACTACAGACACCCCCAGGCCCAGAGATGAACGGCGGAGGGCATTTCAACAGCTGGGAAGACAACAAAAAAAGGGCTCATTTTCAAAAAATGACATGTTACTGATGGGAGAAAAAAAAACAGTTTCTTGTTCAGATAGGAATTCAAGAGTAAAATTAGAAGATAAAGTGGGGTGAATAGTGAGCCACACACATACACACAGCCTACTACCCAGCCGTAACCGTAAGTATAAGCAACCAAACAAAAATGGAAGACTTCTGATACGTTTAGTTTTTTGACTGCAGACAAAATTTCTATAGAATTGAGTTTCTCCTTGTGGGGGCGAAAAACATCAAAACAACAGGTTTTTATCACATTGAGAGAACATCTGGTCCCACAATGTAATAAATACAGTACAAAACACACAGACACGCACACACACAAAATGGTGAGCAGTGAGTAGAAATTAATTTGTAAAACGATGTCTTCTGGGTTCGCTATATTTCAAAGCAAACATTTCACCATTTCTGAAAGCAGTAAGATGTGAAGATGTAAGACTGACAGGAATTACTACATGCAAGCAAGTGCTGCTCTTTGAGTCCAAAGGTTTGAAGATGGTGGGGGGGGGGGCATGATTTTCAGTCTCAGTAGACGAACCCTGGACAGGCAAGAACAAGCCTGTACAAATTTAAAACGAGTCTCGGACGCGGGCCCCTGTATTTATGTTTGTGATTTTCTATTCGCCTCAAAGAACATCAGAGTACAAAATCTCGAAGGATGCAATTTGTCCATTATAGAGATTCACCATTTACCTGCAGCAGCACAGATCCAAATGGGGGAGAAGAATTTGAGAGAGACAGAGAGAGAGACAAAGAGAGAGAGAGACAGAAACTTTTGACTTTTAAAAACTTCTTTATTAACACAAATGCACAATTAAGCCTTACTCAAAAAGATAGATGAAAATTGGGACAATTTGGCTCTCACATGCCGTATATTTCGGACCATAGATAAAAATGACGTTGGAAAAATCTGCCTGGAACCCACCAAACCATGCCTCAAGCTTTAAGAACATGGTCCCAAGCCTTTCGCACCTCAAAAAAAGATGCGCCACAGTTTCAACTTGCCCACAAAAAGGGCAGAGAGACAGAGAGAGAGATACTCTCAGATTCAGTGCTGCTGACGCTGAACAAACAGCACAGCCACAGCACAGCCACAGCACAGCCACAGCACAGCCACAGCACAGCCACAGCACAGCCACAGCACAGCCCCCGGAAGCTTACACGCCACAGATAAAGCCGTTATCCCACCAACCCAGGGGTGACAGGAGGCATATCCATGCTGATCTGATTAGGGCGGGTCTGCAAAGCACGGTCACTACAGCCCACGCAGCCTGCAAATGGAGGAGAGTTCGACAGCAAACACTGTGGTTGCAACGCCCTCACATGCATGCAACAGAGGCAGGTAGCTAGATTTTTGTGGGGACTCTCCATTGCTATGGGCAGTAACCATAAGTAATGAAACAAAATACAAGACTAAATCTTAGTTTTTTGATTGCAAACACAGATTTTTATGCAACCCCCAAAAAATGGGCCCCATATCGTCAAAAACAGGTTTTTAATCTCATTGTGGGAAGACAGACAGGCAGGACAAGTCAATGTGGTAGATGGACTTTGCACAACAACCTGGTCACTTGTACTACTGAGCCTGAGGCAGATTGCTGCACTATACCCCCCCACCCACCCCCCCAGGACTGGCCAGCATCCACCTCGTACTTATCAATACTGACAAAGTATATATCGCACTCTTTACATATTTATCGTTGTTCTATGAGAACTTCAATTTGCTATGGGAAGGACATCCAGAGTAAAATCTGAATGTAGAATCACACTGCTACAGGTCTGCCTCCCACAAGCACAGGGGCACTAATCCAGACTAGCAGCCATTTCCGACCGATCCCAGGGAAAAAGAGATTAATATTGACGCCCGGAATGAAGGAGAAAAAAAGTTACATATATATTCTGCCGACCTTGTCTCCTGCGACACCCCGAGTCTCCTGCATGCCTTCCTGCTGTACCAATGTTCATCCTGCCGTCAGAAGCAGCACCAGCACCTGCCTGAAATCACCTCTTGCCCCCCCCCCCGACTTCAATCTTAAAATCTGGACTGTGTAAGTTAATACTTTGTCATCCTGTTCATTTGGCTTCCTCTGCCAGCCCCCGGAGGATGGGCTCCCCCCTTTTCAGTCTGGTTCCTCCCAAGATTTCTTCCTTCTAGGGAGTTTTTCCTTGCCACTATCGCCGCTGGCTTGCTCACTAGGGGGGGGATAAATGTATAGTGCTTTGAGACAATGTAATGATGTGAAAATAATGCTATATAAATAAAATTTAACTTACTTGAACTGAACTGCCCAAAGCTTAGGCTTTGCATCTGATCCCTGTGTGTTACGGTTAAGGATCAGTTTTCAAAAACACTTCCAGCCTCAATGAGTCAGCTGCTCTCCCCCAGGAACTGACTGATCGCGGTTCGGATCAGAACTCCCACCTTCCCTCCCCATAACAGAGGGCCGCAAACATCATAGACTGACGGATGCAAAGCCGTACTTCCCGTCTCCGCGCCGCCCGACGCATCAGCCAGGAATCTGCCAAAATGCGGAAGCTCCTACGTGTCATCGGGACCGGTTTCCAGAACAGGCTGGTGCCAAATGTCAGCGCCCAGTGAAAGAGAGCCGTTTCCTTACGGACACCCCCGACAAGGCTGGGGCCCTGAAGTGGGCTTAGGGTGCCCTAAAGAGCGCCTGACCCCAGATTCACAAGAGTGAGGGTCTGGATCCAAGTTAAGAAGGTGGCTCAATCTCAGCTCTCCCAACACAATTCATAGCTGAGTAGACTGGGGGGCGGCCTAGCAGAACAGTGGCAGCATCCACAAGGCTAAACCGACTACTGGATTAGCCACTAGATTACAGAGACGTTAAATCAAGTTCATTTTTACTTTCTAATTTAAACTTCAGACTCTGAACTGCCTAATTAAGTTCCAGCATACTAGTCCTTGTTCAGAGGTGGATAGTTCAGGTCCAAAAATTGAAAATCCACACCAAGATTTTGTTTCAACCACCCAGCTGAGTATAAAGAGTCACAGTAACATAGTACTGAACTTGTTGGCTGATACAAAATCTTGGTCTGGATTTTTACTTTCTGGACATGAACTATCCCACCTGACCTATTATATATTTTTTATGGGATTTACTGTGTTTTTTTTTTTCTTTTCTTTTTACACAATTCTTATTTTACTGTACCATTGTGAGCTTGTCTTGTTATTCAGTAATCTGTGGGGAGGATATACAAGGAAGGTGGTTTTGTACCCGGTACATTGTTTTCTGAACATAAAGCTTTGAATATTGAATCCTGGAAGTTTGCTAGCCGGCAGCCTGCTCAGGACACGGCTCCACATTCTCCATGGAAACTCCACTCAGTGCTTCTCACTTTCCCAGCATGGAGTCCCGGGAGGGCAGCGCCACACATGCACGTAACCCACGTCCTTTACTCAGCCGTCCGCGTTTCCTCTCATTACATTTAAACCAGCGTGTCGCGCTTGAAGCCTGCCCTGACTCAGAACCATCTTATAAACGGTCAAAACAAAACAGCATGAAAAAAAAAGCATTAAAAGGCTTTAAACCCGCTTTTTGCCAAACACCCCCTCATCTCAAACCTTACGTTCACACACTGAGCTCAGGCCCGGCAAATAAATGCAGATGGACTTTTACAAAAGGGTCTAGAAGCAGAAGAATTTATAAGCCAAACACAATCCAACATGATGTTTATACTGTGACAAACAACCTTTGTTTGACACAACTTTACCATTATCGTCCCCATTAGTACCTGTAGTAAGTCTGTAGTAACAAAAACAAAAAGGAAAAACAAACAAACAAAGGCAAATGGCCGATGGCGAAACCTTCCACGCATCACGTGAAACAAGAATCTTTCACATGGCATTCCATCGTCATGCTACAGTAATTTTATGGAGGATATGAAATAGAGGAAGACTGTTGCTAAGCATCCTCCGATGAACCATGACAATGGCATGTGTAACACGTAACGCACGTCACAGTGGGGACAGCCACATCGCCGATTAAGGCCTGCAGTATTGGGGACAACCCGATTGCTGTATTCCATCTACAGCCAGTAGCAGTGAATACCATCACCGAGCATCTGTGTGGGTCCCCTGCTGGCCACAAATAGTCATTACACTAGGGTGGGCACAGGGCCCCAGAAACGGCGAACCCACCCCTGTCTACAGCACTGCCAGTCAGCCACTCTATCTGGAAGATGAGATCCAACGGACCGCATTACCGTAATTAGCTTAAAGTTGGTTTGCGGCACCGTGCTGAGCTGGTCATTCAGCGAATGAGTCAGGGTAATTAAAGGGGGAGCGTATCTGCAGTGATTTATGACTGGAGAGGGAAATATTCCTGACAGACAGAAAACTGCCTGACCCTGACCGGGCGGATGCACAGCGAGCAGTCAATCACATCCTGCGCTCACCAGCCACCCCCCACTCCACCCCACCCCCTGGGGCACAGAGCCAGCGAGGTGTGGCCGCTGACCCAGACGGCCAGAGCCATCGCAGATCAGCCGGGAGGGGGAGGGCAGGAGGGGACGGCAGGAGTGACGGCCAGCTGACAGGGACATGGCAGCCATCATGCTGTTAATGTGCTGAGCAGGGGTGACACTTTAAACCGGCGTGAAAAATGCTCCATTCAGCACCTTCACTCCTGAAGAAATGCTGGCCTGCTTTTCAAACCATAAAATAAGGCCAGTTAAAACATTACCCATAAACTGCTGTATTTAAAAAAGAAACAAGAGCCATTTAGAAGTGCATGCCGTTTAAAATGTCAGGAAATGTGTTTTATATTTAATTTAGCTGTCGTAGGTGGAGTAGAAGGTTCCAACAGACATACAGGCAGACAGACAAAGAGACAGATAGAAAGAGACAGAGGCAGAGGCAGACAGAGGCAGACAGAGGCAGAGAGAGGCAGACGGAGAGAGGCAGACGGAGAGAGGCAGACGGAGAGAGGCAGACGGAGAGAGGCAGACGGAGAGAGGCAGACGGAGAGAGGCAGTGTGATGGGCAGGGCTCCTGACCTGAGCAGACGCGTCATGGCGTGCCTGGAGGCGTAGTGCAGAGGGGTGTTGTGCTGATACGGCTCCCCGTACGAGGTGTTGGGGTCCAGGGACTCCTTGAACTGCGGGTTACTCTCGTAGAGCTGGCAGGCCAGGGTCTCGTCCCCATTGATCAGGGCCTTGCGGAACTTGGTGGCCGTGTTCCCCATGACTCGGCCCCCGGGGGACGCTGTCGCTCCTACTGCCGCTGCTAATCTCCTGGCCTGTCCTCAGCCCTTCAGCACGCAAGGGGCCAGCATGCTGCGGCTCCTGTGGGGGGGGGGGCATGAAGACATCGGCACTTCAGGCGACTGACTCACTTCTGCCTTCTACTGGACAAACGGACACAGCACAACAACATAACACTGGAAACACGAGAGCACGAGACGAGCCATTTATGCAACTGCCATTTTAATAGACAAGTTTAATAATAATAATAATAATAATTTATTATAAATATAATTATATTTACAATAAATAATTCAAAAGAAAAAAAAACAAAAAGCAGTATCTGACCTTCCTGCATCAAACAACTTATTCTGGTCTGGGGGGGCGCAGCCTATTCCAGGCTGTGGACACACTAGATGAGACACATCACCAGTCCAGCACCAGTATAAAAAGCCCAAACTCAGCACACTGTCCAGCTCGGCCTTGATGTCCTCTAAGGGAAGCCTCTCCGGCCCGCTGTGGTTCAACAGGACAGAAACCATCTTCAATCACAGGAAGCCCACTGACAGGAAGCCCACTGACAGGAAGCTACGTCGGGCCATTATTGTACCCTTCAGCAATTTACTACAGTCGTGCAAATTCGAAACATATGCACAAACTCAAAAACACGCTTGAGTAAAAGGCTACAATAAAAAAAAAAGAATAATGGGGAACTTGTTCTGCGCACGTCTTTTATGATGAGATTAAGGGCCAAAAATCCCAGGGGTTTCTTTAAACAGCGCAGAGGGAGGGGCAGAGGGGCATAAACATTTAAATTCTAAAGGAATTCAGTCCAAAGGTTGGATATAAAACCCACAAAAATACAGCTTGACGCACAAACCCCGCCCCCGCCCCACCCCCACAGGAGGCTGACAGAAACTCCCGAGCCAGATACTGGTGTCACACCTGAAGTCACCTGCAGGCCACATGGAAACCGGGAGCGACCCCAAAGGACACGCCACTAAGCCGTGACAGAAGGGCTCTGCAGCGCCCCCTAGGGAGCGCCGCTCGGTGGAGCATGAGGAAGTGGCACGAAGCTAGAAGCCTGAGCCAGGCCGACCAGTGAGCGCCTGACGTCATACATGATGCTCACACAAGGCACAGACAGACTAAGCAGAAAATCTCTAAGCTTCCCTCACTACTTTTGCAGCATCCTTTTCTTTTTATTTAATAAAAAAAAAAAAGAAAAAATTTCAAAACCAGCCTTTCTGCTACATTTATCAGCAGGCCGGCAGAAGGCATACCAAGACATGTGACTGTGAGGTGCACTAGCGGTGTGACTCAACACGGGTCCCCGGGTGACACGGCAGCGACTGTGGCCTGAGCTCCTCAGCTATGCAGGCCAGAAGGCAGGCCGGACCGGTCGGCGTGAGCAGGTGCCGCAGCCGGCAGCCCCGCGGTGAGGCGGTGGAGTTGGGGAGGCCGCACTCTGCCTTGGAAGGAGGTCAATACGACCCTCATCCAGGCACCAAGACAGAAACACTTATTTTGGCTACAGCAGACGCAGGGTTGAAATGAGGAGTATTTTTAGCCCTCTCCATGTATACCCGCCACCCCCCCCCCCCAAATGCAACCTGTCTTGTCATGTGCCCCCTCCCGGCTGTGGATCACGGCCTACGTGCCACGTGTCCACACACGATCAGGCTCCGGTCTTCGTCGCACCACGGCCGGGGGCCTGCTTCCGCCGCCATCTGCTGACCTCCGAGGCTCCAAGCGCCGGAAGCTTCTCGCCCCCGACCACAAACTCACCGATTGGCCGCCCAAACGTGCAGTCTGATCCCCGACCGCGGACACATCCGTGACACAGAATCCCTCCAAACCCCACAGTGACACCTCAGGTTTACATTCTAGATATTATGACTATGATTATCAGCTCATTAACAATTAATTCCCATCCATTCCATTGCTACCACTCAAAAGAATGTGGGTGGGTGTGGCTTAATTCCCAGCTGCTCAATCCTGCATCAGACTTCAGGGAATTTCCATCTCCACCATAAGCAGGGAAAGAGTCAGTCCCGGTCCCGGTCCCGGTCCCGGTCCCAGGAGCAAATAATCCAATCAAACGACCCCGCAGATGCACATATTCTGATCTCAGGGCTGCCCGAAGGCACACTTACCTCGCCGGAGGCCAGCCGGCTCAAGAAGTGTGTCGATCCCTCAAGAGCGAGACTTAAAGTTAAAGCCCGAGAAGACCCCTTACCGGCACGGCCCGGCCTGCCTCCGAGAGATAAGCGAGCACCTCTTGGTGCCGACCCACTTACACGGACAGCGTTAAGAAGCTGCGTGCAGAGGGCTGCTTCCGGGGGGCACACCTGGAGAGAGACAGAGCATCGTCCATGAAGCCAGGGCTCCTAATCTTAAGCCCAGCCAGCGGTGGGGCTGTGCGATTATTACAGGGTCTGCTTCTGGGTCCGTTGCCATTTTATATTGGACAGACTCTGCTGCCATGTCAGATTCTCAAAAATTAGACAAAACACATCAAGCCCAAGTGTGAAAAGAACAGACGTCTGAACAAAGCACAATAACAGACCCTTTACCCAGATCCGCCACGTTTTCAGCTTCAAACAAACAAGCGAGGAGAGATTTCACCCCTATGAACAGCCATGGATTAAAACAGTCACTACAGGTTCTATAAGCAGGAATCAGAATAAAGGAATGTCCAGAGTGGAAGTGGGATCTCATTGCCGTTACGAAACAGTCAGGAAGGCACACAAATCCCATAAGAATTTGGGACACCCGCAAAGAAAGATCTGAAGATTCACAAACAATGACAGTACTATACTCAGTGCTGTTATCAGAGAAAGGTCTTTGTGGAGGAAACCTATTTCTACATGATCCGGTGTGTATATAAGATATTGTGCTGCTTTAATCTTTGATCTTTCCTTTTGGCACACAACAAACAGCTAGTTTCGCTTTGCATCAGTCAACAGCACGTGATGCAGTATTTCCTGAGAGCTGGGCCCAAGGGCTGGACCAGAAGAAGGGGGGAGCTGGGGGGGGGGGAGCCCAGAAGAGATGCATCACATGACCCGTCGGCAGGAAATACCTCGAGTTCACGACGCTGCTGAAAACAACGGAGACGGAGTCTGAGGCACCCTGTCGATTCCAGTCAGGAGCTAAACACCATTAATCACAACAGCCAACACACACAAGGGAGACTACTGCATTTTTATGAGGAGAAAAAATATCCTAGATACATAATCTCTGAAATGTGGGAAATGTTGCCTCGGACTGAAAATGGATTTCCCCTCTATAAACATAATTATACCTATTTAAGTAAATAGTTTCCAGCAAATGAAATACAGGCTTAAGAGAATCGACATCACTGTGTCGATGGTTTTGTTATATTCAGGCAAGCAAGAAGTATTTTCAGTAGTAAATCTAAGATACTATATAGCACTGAAAGCTGAATGATATAAACATCAGTGATGAATTCATTGATAGAACAGTAAAGGACCCAATAGGGTCAATTTTACAGCTAAAACTTTTGCCATTTTAATCAAATGTCATAAAAATGCAAATTTGTCAAACAATACAGGTTTGAAATTGAAAATGTACAATTCTGTATTATCGTCATTTTAAAACAAGCATTAAATTGTAAAAGTTATTTTTAAGAAAATGGACACAGTTCAGTCGAATTGCCCTATCACTAAAGAAACGCTTTGCATTGAATGGTTTTCAGTCTGCAAAGCACAGCGGCGTTTAATCAAATCTCGAAAACAAGAAAAAGAGGGAAAAAAAACAAAAAACTTAACTGGATCAATTTATTAGCTGAAGACAAGCATTGTCTCAGTATGGGGAGGCCGGCCGCTCTCCCCTGAGGGCTGATTTCAAAGGTGCGTGTCTTCAACATGTCACCCATTCAGAAGAGTTAAAGTGATCATTAACACCCCCCCCCCCCCCCCCCCCCCGGCCCCCATCGGCCCCAGTGACCCCAGACCTCAAGGCACAATCTTGCATCGTTTACCAGACGCATCACATTTCAAATCGAATCGAGTTGTCAGCTGCGCCAATAATTCAGTTTACATCTGGACTGTGTTGCAACAAGGTCAACGTAAACAGCAACGTGTCAATTTCTTTACATGGAGGAGATAAACTGGAAACTGTGAAGTAAAGGACTTTGTTATGGTAAAACAATAAAATTGGGCTGTGGGATTGGCACTCCTTCCAGGAAACGTCCACACAAAGTACACCTGCTCCGTTTAAACAAACTACACCAACCGTTTCCATGCTTACAATTTAAACAGAAGCTACAGTTTGCTCCCTGAGACTGATCCGTGGCACGTGGATGGGACATAAGTGCCAAACCTTGTGGGGGATACCATTTTTTTTTGGGGGGGGGGGGGGTGCAGATGGCGATGACAAGATAAATAGTGGTGTGAGATTTACATCTAAACTACAGCAACCGGCGTGTGTTTGTGTAGGCCGATTTATCAAGCGCAGTAAACAGACAGCAGGAGAAACTCACAAAAACCAGCAGAGAAAACTCCTGGCTTATAAAAATAATACTAAAAAAGGGATCTCAGATGTGGAGACTGACAGTTACTAGATACGCCGTGATTCATTTGTTAGATCCAAAGCTAAAAAAGGCTGAAATATCGAGTTGTTCAAGCCATGTAATGTCAGATGAGGTTTATACCACAGTCCAAACATACCGTCTCATCTTATTTCAAACTCTCCACTTTGCTAACTGGTGGCCACGAAGCATCAGCAGGTGACACAGCTGTAGAGATGCAACCGAGCTGTGATCATGGAGAGGAAGCTGGCAATTTGTGTCATGAATTGGGGAGGGGTGCTTTTTTCGGTAACCGCACTTTCACACAGAAACAGAGAGACAACACAGGACCGCTCGTCTGCCACTTGAATAGTGCCCAGAGGTGACTGGAAGAAGATAAGCACGGTCCTCACCGCTTACCCCTCACTGGTTATATCACAAACTAAAAGCTTGGCGTACATGTCCAAATGAGGCACAGCGGAACAGAAACACAGCACAAGGTTCCCCAGACAAAACCCCCATCAGAAACAGAAGCACTTATCAATTGAGTTCAAATGGGTTTTTGGACAGCTCATCTGGTCCCTATTATTAAAGGCAGGGCTGCACTACAAACCAATACATCTGCTGCCATCTGAAAGCCCAATCTCACTGCCCATGACATTACAGCCTTTACTCTATATCCCATTATCTTCAAATATAAATTATTACTACAGTTTGCACAGTAATCAGTATGCCCATTTTCTACAATTCTGGATAGAAAATCACGAGATGAGTCCCTACAAGACACATTAATGAAATCTGAGTCAAAGGCCCATGAAATTATTAGTATTTCCATACGAGGTCGTTTAATTCAATCACTGTTTTCAGAATAATGGATTTTAAAAATATGCAGCCATTTAAGGCACCACAGCAGACGCAATTTAGAAAAGAATATGAAATACAACAAGAGTGGATATAGTGGAGTGTTAAATTAATCGAAATTATAAGAAGGCAACTGGTGAGATTTGCAGAAAGACACCTTTATCTGTGTGTGTGTTCACACATGCAGAAAACACCCGAAAGTACAATGGCTGCTGCTGGAGGAAGGGCACCGGGTTGTTTTATTAAGTGCATTAGCAGGATGTAGAGGGATGAGACGCCTCTTAATAAATACAAACCACCCGGAGGGTGCGCAGTAACGCCGGACCCACCCCGGCCGAACCTCACCTTGCGGTCCCGCGCCCAGCGGACCCGGCCGGGCTCAGCTCCGTCTCCTCCCCGCCTTGCTGACGCGGTTCGTGGTTAAATCACGAACCAGAGCCCGATCCGCCTTCACCGAGAGGCAGCGCTTAACGTCGCCGTGTCAGCACCGGGCACTGAAGCCATCGTGCAGCTGGCGCGGACCCCGTGGCACCGATCAGCGGACGCCCGACTTTTCTCTGTCACCGTCTGCTGGCTGCAACTCCGGGGGTTTCAGATGGAGCCCCGGCGCCTGCCTGCTCGCCTCCAGCCGGTGGCTGCACGGGGGAAGGCAGACGATCCGAGACACGCACGCCCGATTAACGCTGAACTCCGTCCAAAACAACAACACAGAGCCTCGGTTATTCAAAGCAGGAAAACCCTAATACTGCGTGGCAAGACTTACGATGCACACGTATAAAGGAGAGAATACTGTCATGAAGAAATTACACCCAAGCAGCTGGGACATGAAACAGTGATTATGGTGTGAGACGGCACACGTATCGCCCTCGCCTCTCTCCTCTCTGCCTCACAAATAAACCACACGGCCAACTGCTCCGTGCACGGCCAGAACAAGCCGACGAGCCCAACAGCGAAGCCCAATCAGGTACAAGCAGTCAATTACGAGCAAAACATCCAGTGCCAATGCATATGTCCGAACTTGAGTGCTGTTTTTCCGCCAGCTTCGCGATGACGTCTCAGCTGACTTGGCTAACGAAACAGCCACAGTAAATTGCATTAGCCAGTGAGCTTCTGCTATCGACATCCACCTAAACACGCTGCCTAACCAGTAAATAACTTACACAGTCAGTCCTCTCGATTATCCAGTATATGGCGACTAAAGCCTTGCCTTTGTTAGCATGGGACTAACCCTCGATTCCTTAAATCCACATCGCTCGGCCGCCGCTCCCACCCATTTAGATCTGGGCTCTACAGCAAAGACAGCTTCTTTTCTGTTTTGTATCTGAGGTTCACGACACCAGAAGTGCTGCGTCACAGAGCCCAACCCGGAAGTGCAATTTCAGTCAATCAAACGGTCCGGGGACCCCGAACCGTGCTAGGAGGGGCTTTTAATTGGCCAAAAAGCTAGCCACACCTGCGCCATGATTGGCTCATGCAGTCGTGTAGGCGGGGTGAGTGAACGTGAGGAATCGTACAGAAGAGGCAGCCACGAGCGTACTGTATGGTTAAAAACAACAAGGCGACGTGATTACTTTATAAAGACATTATGGCGCATAGCAACATCGTGGCAGAACCCCCAGAAATCTTGATTTGTCAACATGGGTCGAAAACCGTTACAGGCTATATCTATTTATAAAAAAATATATAAATTGGCCATCTTTTAATGTTTTGTTGTTTAATATTATAGCCATGGGAACCATAAATATGTTCAGTTTGTTTAGCCATTATTTTAAAAGTGTCGTGTTTTCAACTACCTTTTCACAAAATGAACTACCAATGTGGGTAGTTTCATTTACATTGTAAATAAACTAAGATCTGTAGGGACGCCTTTATCAAAATAGATTCTGCACATAAAACACGTGATGTGCAGAATGATTTTTAAAAAGCGTTTATTAAAAAACCTATTTATTAAGTAATGAAAAGCTTTCTTCCTCTGCTGTTTGTAACCTGCAGAATAATTCATAATTATGAGTCTCCTCTGTAAAACGAGCAATACATTTAGTTTCACAAATGTTTCTACGCAAACTGTCAACACAGACATTTCTACCAGTTTCTATCTACATCTGTACAAAACATCCATCTAACCTCCGATCGCTTATCCTGCTCAGGTTCGTGGGGCTTGTGCGAAATGTTAAAAAAACGAAGTGGTATAACTATTTTCCTGTTGTACTAGTGGGTGCAAGCTACAACTCAGGGCAGACAAATAATTGTTACTGGATCCTCAGCATTAAAAATGTCCGCCTTACACGTTTACATGTGATCAGAGATAAACACCATCTCCGTGCTATTCTGGTCCCGGGCGTCACTGGTCCAGGCTGGTTCTGGGTCTGCCCACGATGACAGCCCGTCGTGACCCGGAAGTCCACGCTGGAAACTAAAACTTAATAATAACAGAAAAACAACGCTGGATGGAGACGTATTTCTGGGGGCTTGAACTGCGGGGTTTTAAAACGTAGCGGGCCGGTCCCGCAACCACAGGTAGGGTAATCAAATGCTGTTTTCCGATGAAGTGACGGATCCGGCTTCTGTTGGTATTTTTTTTAGCTGTTAAACTACGGTTCAGCCCAGACTTCCTACGGCAGGAAGCACACACGTATCTGCCGTGATCATCGCCAGAAAATAGTATAGAAACTAGACGCGCATTGTCTCGTTTAGAAGCTCACAGATTTGTATTTTTTTCATTCCCCCAAAGTTTTTGTTACATTTTCTCCTGTAGATCGTGGATGTAAATATGCAGACCGTGTGTGTGTGTTAAAGGCTGTTTTTCCTGGGTGTGACTGCTTGCGGTGAGTCTTGCCCGATTCATCCTCTGTGTATCTGTGACATGATGTTTCGGAGGTTTAATGTAGAATCATGGCTAAATAACTCTTTAAACCAACAAATAACCCAGCAGAACCCATGCTGAACCGGACAAACAAGGGGCGGTGCACCGGTCGGGATCGATAACGATGCATCGCCCCAGTATAACGGATTACCGGTGTTCTGACGAGTTGAGCTTCTTTGTCGAGTTAGGTTACCGTAGCGCTAATCGATTGCCCTTACCCTAACCCTAACCCCAAAAAACACCTACCCTAACCCTAACTCCTAAAATCTAACCCTAATCCCAAAACGGTGGAACTGCACATGCGCAGAAAGGCTCGATAGCTCGTCTCGATAGGTAGCTCAACTCGTCAGAATACCGGCATAAGTTCTTCTAATAAAATGTTAAATAAAAGTGCTAAATGAGCTTTTAGTTGTGATAACGACTCTCGATAATATGTATAAACACGCCTCTGGATTCTTCGTGATGATAAAACAGATTTAGTGAACAAGTAAAGAAACTGAGTAGTATTTAATTAGTATTCCGTAATGACTACGATTTAACGAAAAGTATGTCGCTCCTGTAGTGTGTGTTGTGTGACCACGGGTTTTTTATTTATAATTTCAGACATGGTGACTCTGAGAAAAGGTTTGGTGTTGTGGATGTCCAAAAACTGAAAATCAAGCAATAAGATGGGCAATAAGGATAACCTGGAAGAAGTGTTTGTAGCTGTCATCCGTCCGAAGAATGTAGTCAGTCTGACCTCCAAAGAATACAAAGCAAAAGCCTATGAGGTAAAAATTAATCAATTGTTTAAATATCACGATATCTCATGGTCAATCGGAAGACTCCCATTCTCTGAGTATATTTTTAGATTTATAGCATGCAATACATATTAACCAGAGGTGGAGATTTCAGGTCCAGAGAGTACAAATCCAGACCAGGATTTTGTTTCAACCAACCAGTTGAGTACTCTGTGACTGTGACTCTTTATACTTAACTGGCTGGTTGAAACAAAATCCTGGTCTGGATTTGTACTCTCTGGACCTGAAATTACCACCTCTGATATTATCTTACAGCTTGTGTCGCTAGAGGGCACTACATCGACATTAATGGCAAGTTTTTTTTTTTATATATTTTAGATCCTTTTGGTCGAACTTCCTTTGGAGGGAAAGGAGAAGAAAAGGAAGAAAGTTCTTCTAGGAACCAAAATACAAGCTGATGGGGATAAGTCCCGATCGATTTTGGACTATGTCGATGAAACAACCAAACCCATATCCAATAACCAAGGTTTCATAGGTAAAAGGTTTTTTCAATCATATGGGTGCAATATTCTCTCTCTTTCTCTTTTGAGGACACTGATTAAAACAATATCAGCAATTAGATGCTAACCTAAGACTCTGAATGGAAGAATAGTGAAGGGAGTACACAGGGACAAACAACTTTACAAATGAGTAACTTGATGGTTTAAAAGCAGCCCCTAACAGTGCTTGTGTGCTATAGGGAAGCGTGTTGTGCACATGAAGAAATTCACTCTTGACGGGGAAAACCACGGGAAGGAAGCTTCTTTGTTCATAGTGCCGCTTAACGTCAAAGGTAGGTCCTTAAGCATCCCCGCCGCAGAACGTGGAGTCGAGAGAATTTCCGCCCCGTTTTAATTGGAGGCAGCGTTTGACAACCGCCATGACTGCTGTCTGATTACAGACAACAGCAAGCTGACGCACAGCCCCGGCTGTCCAAGTTTCTACTGCTTACAAGACGTCATGCGGGTTTGCAGTGAGACCAGCACCCACTTTTCATCCATTACTTCCAAGATGCTCATGGCGTTAGACAAGTAAGCGCCTCACGGTCTCACAGGGGTCACTTCAATAGTAATAATAATGAAGGTGAAAGTGACTAATTGCCATTGGTGACACATCACAGCAACAAAATGTGTCCTGTATTTAACCCTTATGTGATATAGCAGTGGGCTTTGGGGGGGGGGTTCCTTGCTGGTCGGGGATTCGAACCAACAGCCTTTCAACCACAAGCACACTTCCCTAACCATTAGGCCACCACTGCCCTGAATGGATTGAGGCATTGGCCAGGAACTTAATTATTTTATTAATCCCTGTGGGGAAATTTTCTTTTCATCTATACCATCTGGCTGTCCATCAGACAGACACATATACAGGTGAGAGCAAGCTTTGGGGGGAGGGGGGTCATAGCTGGGGGTTAGGGGCCGAAAGACATATGACTATTTAACCAAAGCCAGGGCTCGAACCAGCAACCCCCCGATCACACGCACAGGGGTTCAGCCCACTGAGCCACACACTGCCCCCGATGATGTGACGGCCTCGCATCTGTCCCGCCCAGGTGGCTGGCCGAACAGCACAGCGTGCCCCATGCCATCCCCGCCTTGTTCCGGCCCTCCCCAGTGGAGAGGGTGAAGACCAGCGTGTGCAACCCTGCGTACTCTACAGACGGCAAGCAGCCCGAGGGCTCAATGCACATGGGCTACACCGCCCTGGAGATCAAGAGCAAGATGATGTCACTAGAGAAGGCAGACATATACATCAAAAACCCCCTCTACGGATCAGACCTGCAGTACACCAACCGGGTGAGAGCACCCCTCCCACTCCATCTTACATCACTATAAGAACATAAGAAATTTACAAATGAGAGGAGGCCATTCGGCCCATCGAGCTCGTTTGGGGAGAACTTAACTAATAGCTCAGAGTTGTTAAAATCTTATCTAGCTCTGATTTAAAGGAACCCAGGGTTTTAGCTTGTGCTACACTATCAGGAAGACCATTCCATACTCTGACTACACGCTGTGTAAAGAAGTGCTTCCTCAAATTCATTAATTGCTATGTGTAGCTTCTGTCTGATCACCATACACATAGGGGTGTATCAGCTCTAGTCCTCAAAGTGAGGATTCTGCTCTACACTCAGCTGCTAATTGCTTTATTAAAGTCGTTTAATTGGATGTCACCTAATGTTTTAAAGAAGCTATTTGCCAAAAGTGCCAGTTGAAATTTCTAAAATCTCCATCGTGGCCAGAGTTGCTTTTCCTCCTGTTTTGGCGCTTAATGTAAGGTCTCGGTAGGAGACGGTGCAGCCTGAAGGCTTCCGGTTTTCATGCCATGTCATCGGTTACCTGCACTGACCCCTCAGGTGGACAAGGTGATCATCAACCCCTACTTTGGCCTGGGGGCTCCGGACTATTCCAAAATCCAGATCCCGAAGCGCGAGAAGTGGCAGCGTAGCATGAGCAGCGTGACGGAGGACAAGTGAGGACCCAAGTTGCAGCACCCTCTAAAAAAAAAAATAAGGGGGGGTGGGATTCTTCCATATTGAAAAGCTAGATACCTTAGCACTAAGGGCAGGGTGGGGTATCTCCTCAGGGAACGCCAGTGGGTGGATGATTTCCCGCTGCACCGTAGCGCCTGCGAGGGTGACACAGACCTCCTTAGCAAGCTTCTGGACAGCGGCTTCTCCGTGAAACAGCTGGACAGCGATCACTGGGCTCCCATTCATTACGCCTGCTGGTGGG